AATGAACGCAAGGTGGAAGGAGCCGGATAAGTACGAGGTAGGAGTAGAACAGCCACGGCGACCACGATGCCAACGCCAACGACAACGGGCGACCGACAACGGTAGCGGCGGCGGCGGCGGCGGCGGTGGCAGCATCGGTAGCAGCTACGGCAGAAGAGGAACAGCGCAGCTCCGGGGCCGCGACTAGATAGAGACACACCGGCAAAAGCATAAACATCCGAGCGGCGGGCCAGTGGTGGTGGCGGCGGCGGCGGTGGCGTCAGTGGCGGCAGTGGTGGCGGAGGCAGCAGCGACGGCGGGGGCAGCGCGCACGTTCCACACCGTGGGCGTCGCCATCGAGTTCCTACCACGACGGCAGGGGTGTTCTATGACGCTATAGATCATGCGGGCTCCGCCTGGTAGGCGGGCACAACCTGGTAGTTGGTACGCCGGTGCTCTTTTCCCCTCGGCTCCTCCAGCCTTGCCAGCGCCGCCGACGGTGCCCGCCAAAACGAGCTCCGGCTCACCGACTACCCACGGTGGACTGACCAACTCGTATCCTTCGACCTCCATCCGATTTATTTCCGACTCGAATCTCCGGCCCGAATTATCGTAAAGCAGTCTGCCGCGCTGACGCCCCCTTCCACGAGCACCCAAGACGAATAGAAAAGTCCCCCGAGCTCGATGTTTTCGAAACGCTCGCCGATCCCCCTCCAATTTTCGTTAAGCCAAAACGAGCTTGTCTTTCGTTTTATGGGGGAAACGGTTCTCTTGTTGCAACAATCTCCGTGCAAACCGCTCGCTTTGTGTACGTATCTTTATTTATTTTTTTTCAGATGCTCCGAAATGTCGTTGCTTCGTTCGTCGTAATGTTCGTGTGACTATCGCAGATGTGAAACGAACTTACGGTTTTGAAAGGAGACGACGCGTGGCGATCGAAGAAATCGTGTCGAGTTTGCGTACTTGAAAGATATTTGTGACTGCGGGGTTGATTGTCCTCCCGACTTAGGTCAAATAGGGTTAAATTCACCCTTGCGACCGATGGAGCTCTTTCAGTGTAGCGATTTTCCCGGTGACCAAACTGGTTAGACGGGTTAAGCACCGCCCATGATTTCTCATCGAGAACCAATAAGAAGCAGTGAAACGTTGCTCTGACTGTTTTGTGGGATCGCTCAACCATCACGTAAACAGTTGACTTAACAGCTGAGTCCCTGAAAACGCTTTCGAAAGCGATTCCTACATTTTCAAACCAAAACTGTATCGAAACAATTACTTCGCAACTCGTTTAGTATTTATCCTCAGAAACTTGAGAAATATTGATTCTTTTCTTTCTCGTCAAAACTGTAATTAATCTCATTTCGAAGTATATAGAATTATTGCATTCACGTCGATTTTTCAAAGATAACCGTTCGCATTCCTTACTTCGATTCGTATTATTAGAGAAGCTGAATTCATAGGAGTTCAGAGGATATATTTCAGTAAAGGAAATAAAAAAAATTAAACAAAACGTTGCGTGTATTATTTTCTTCTGCCGTTTCTCTATTTTGTATTTCGCTTGCTCTTTTATTCGTAACTTCCTGTTTTCGCTCGTATCCTTTGATTATACCTCACGATCAGCTACGATTTCTAGATCAATATCGTACTTTTTTCTTCTTGTGAATATTGGTAACTTTCCCGTAGATACATAAATCAAATAAAAAAAGTGACAAGTTTGAGCACCGAAGGCAACGCAAGAAGCGGAACCTTGCTTTGGAGCGAAGATAATCATCGAATAAATCGGAGTGAAACAGCGATTACTTATTAATTATTTTTGTTATAATCGCGGACTCCAATTATAAATCGATAAATTGTAACCTTTCGGAGCAAATCGTGTCTAATTATTTATTCCGGGATCGACTTTATGGACGTGCGGAATCTGCGCGATCGGAAGATTCTTGAATTCATGATAAATATCATCTCTGATATTTCTTAACCTTAATATAATACTTTTTTTATATCAGGTCGAGTAAATTATATTAGCAGAGATTATTTGTCACTGCTTGATCACGATTACGAACTACTCAGTAATCATTGGATTTCGTCGAAATGTTTCGAATCAGACATCGAAACTCTTTGGCACTCCTGCAAATCGTTTATCGCGTAATTCAGCGAGAAGAGTTCCTAGGTTCGAGTCGAAGCAGGATGGAAATAGAGTAGCGGGATCGATCGATTCTTCGGAAAGATACGTTTCGTTATCGAGTAACGATCGCAATCACGGATACGACGTAGACTACGAGTGGACCGTTACTTGGTTCAACTTGGAGGAGAATCGGATCGCGAACCTCAAGATCGCATTTCCTAAGATCCAACTTATCTTACACCGTATACGTTTGCGATACGCGGATTAAAATAATTCGTGTAAATGTAAAAAAAATAATTTACAGAACGTTCGTCTTGAATGTTAATAAAGAATATCTCTGGATCTCACGAAGTAATCGTGTTTTATATTTTATTCAATTTGGAAATCGATGTAGACTTATATATATAAAAAAAAATATACATGTTGAATTGAGAAACCTCCTTCTTTTCGAAGTTGGTTAAAAAGACTTAACTTAAACTTTGGTTCGACCCGCCTCTATAGGACGTAATAACGTCCCCTTGTTGAGCATTCAGAAGCGTAATACCTCTGAATCGCATAATAAACTACTATCTCTGTATCAAGCAATCAACCACTAGTTAACATAGAAGTAGACATCGAGAGTTCCTCAAGTGAAACATTCGAAGCCTGAGAAAAGTTGCGACAACGAGACCGTAGCTCCGCTGCAAGTTTTGAGGTTAACTTCCAATTTCGCTCGATATCGAATCGATTACGCGCTGGACCGAGCGAACAACGATACTTGGCGTATTTGGATAGTAGACGAGTTCGATGGTGCACTTACCCAAGCTGGCTGGACGTTCGTTGGCCTTACAGAGACGAAAGTATCGAGAAACTCGTAGATACAGCTTCGCGACGCCGTAATACGGTCGAACGATATCGCCAGGCGGCAGCGCCTCTCGCGGCAGAGCTCAGAGTTAATCGAACGCTGGGATTCCCCCTTCTCGTCAGATGACGCTGGGCCGATATAGTTAGGGGCCCCGCCCCCTTTTTCGACCACCTCTTGCGTTCTCGAGTCCAGCGTCAGTCCCTCGGACCCGTCCACGAACTTTCGTCGTATTTTTTCGGCCTGGTCGTGCGTCGCGCTCCATTTTGTGATGGACAAAGTATAAAAAAATGTTGAATAAGATAAAGAAGAACCGTCGTCGAGATACTGAACCGTTGATTCGTGATTCGTTGGATAAAAGTTGCAGTCTGAGTTATACGATCGAGTTGAGACACGTAGCAAAAGTACTGGCTCGTTTGCACACTACACCAGTGATAAAGACGTTAAACAAAATGAATTACTCGAGGTCTTTTCTTCTGGTATCTACCAGCAACTCGAGATGCTTTCTTAGCAGTCTATTGCCACGAATGCTGAGCTTAGATTGACTTTGAAGATGAGATCTCTAATTAGATCGTTTTATTGACACTTCAAGTTTCAATGAAATTAAATTTAAACAAACATTGTTGCTGGTTGATTTACGTGAAACTTATTAGTGACCAATAATCATCTCTCGGGTGACTGCATCACGTGAAGATGTGACTGAGAGTCGTCTCTCGAGCGCAAAGGGTTAATCGAATGCAAGTTGCGAATGAATCGCTATACGGAATGTTCATTCCTCGTCTACCACCGAGGATAGATCAAAAAGAGCACTTTAACACGTTGACTGGTAGATTAATACTCCTGAAAATTTCTACTGTGATTTAGTTTCGTTTCCAGACTACTGGAAACTACATAATCAAACATTTACTGCGGCATCTATTTGTACAACTTCATCGAAGTTTCAGAATTTCATTCAAATTTATTTTCCTTGATACTTAACATTCAGAATTAATTTTCTTTGTTCTCGAGTGAAAACCACTGTCACCCATATATGGGTGACGTGGCGGTCAACGTGTTAACCGATTCTCGTCTGTTCTGCACGATTGTCGGCATATTATTTCACATGTTTATCGCACGTGTGCCCCTTCGCGTACCTGTGCGATAAATACGTAAAATAAATAGGATTTAAATAAAAATTATTCGAACGCAGTTCAGCTCGTCCCGGTCTTATTCACGGGGGGTTGAAGGACGAAGACGAAGGGTAACGCGTGCGCGCGTACCACGATGCGATCGCATTGAAACGGGCAGTGGAGTGGCTGGCATTGCGCCGCCGCTATCTTCGGCTACCAACCCCCTCGGATACCTCGAAGAAAACCGACAGTCACGGAGGACGCTTCTCTGTCGCGCGATTTCGTCCATACCTCTGCCTCGCTGTGCCCGTTTCGCCCTAACCCTAACCCCCTCCGGCCCCTCCCCTGTCTACATTCCGTCTCGGTGTCCCCCACCCTCGATTTTACGGGGGACCGATTCGTTCAGTTTCGCGAAGCGTGAGGCTCGGTACGCGTCGGTGACACGAACGCGGACGCGAAACGCGAGTGTGCAGTGGGAAGAAGAAACGGCTGAGGAGCCAGAAAGAGTGCACGGAGAGGCAGATAGGAGCAAGGAAGAGCGGGCAAGCCAGGAAACGAGAACGGAGCGGAGGAGTCGAGAGGGAAAGAGGACTACTACTCCTGGGTCCCCCCACCACGCGGCCTGCCGCCGCGACGCCAGTCCGTAGTCAGTCAGCGCTGGACCGCCGCCCGCTCGATTTCGCGATCCACGAACGACGGTAGCCACCACTTCCACCTCCACCTCCTCCTCCACCTTCTTTTCTCTATACCTTGTTCAAGTTCTCGTTCTCGCCCTCTGCACCCTCCCCCCCCCCCTCTCCTCCTCCCTCCGCCGCCCTTCTCACCCGAAGTTTCTTCTTTCTCCGTCACCCGACCCCCGACGTCACCAGCCACCAGCCCCCCCGCCCCCCTCCCACCGTGTCTATCCGTCTATCGGTCTATCAGCCTCTATCTTTCTCGATCTCTTCTCCGCTCCGTTCCCGTTTTCACCCTTGCGCGTTTCAATCGGTCTCCCCAGGTATACGCGTACGTAGAGACGCGATCGCGCAACCCTCCCCCTACCCCCCTTTCGCTCGCTTTCTTCCATTTTCCTTCTCTCCGAGCCGAGCTTTCGGTAACTCCGTACGTACGAACGTAAGTACGTACGGCGGAGTGTCGTGCGCGCGTCTCGAGTGGATGCTAGGCGTCGTCGCGAGGCACGCGTCCCCAAACACGGACAAGTTTATCGCGCGATTATCACGGGATCCCCGCTGGAGAAGGATCCTCCGGATCAGCGGACTCGTTCCTCCGGATGCGCGGTTGCGATCGAGCACCCGCGCAGCGTCCGTCAGATCTAGCCGGATCTACCACGGCGTTCGCGATTCTCTTCACGAAAGTGCGCTAGCCAGGTCCTAGTGATCGCAATCGAAGTGCCGAGAATCGATTTTCAACCGCGGAGGAACGAACTGCCTCTGAACGACCGCGCCGGTTGTTTCCCTCGCGACGCGCGAATACTCACGCACCACCCGACGCCGGAAATCTCACGTTTCTTTCTCTTGGATCATCCGTAGGTGCGGCGCATACCCGATGCAAACCGATGCCCATCACTGTACGAGCGGGCCTGCGTTTCTACGTTTTCAAACAGTGAAGCAAAGCTGCGATACCGTGCCTCGATAGATGCGACAGTGATACGATATTACGCGTTAAGCGTAGAAATATTGGTGATTACGAGATTCAGAGTGAGTGGATTTAGCAAACTGGAGGATTCTCGGCGAGCGGTTCAAGTGTCATCAGTGAAACCCGCCCCCCAGATTCGTATACGATACCAGTGTCTTCACGGTTAGTTTCGCGCCGATGTAGGTGCCCCGGCTGCCTCCTAGAGAAACCTAGAACGTAGAGGATGGTCGGACCACCGACGACAAACCGATCCGCAGAGATCGCGATGAGGTAGTGCTTCGTCGGACACGTGCAAGTGGGTGACTGTTGTGCGCGGAACCGGGAAACCTCGACAGGGTTTCCCGCGGAAGATCCACGGATCTCCGAGCGAGTATATCGACACAAGACCGTCACATGTTTCGAATCCGATCCAAGCCTGCGTCTAAGGAGAGAAGACCTGGAGCCCGCACAGATAATCGAGCATCCTCGAAGGACGCAGATGCCCCGAAGGAAACAGCACGCTCCGCAACGTATGAAATGTGAGTCCAAACATTACTGTTCCTTTATCGGCGAGAATCGTCCCTAGATCGGTTGCCAGGGACGCCGAGCTTCGACTCGAATTAGGCGACACGGAAAACGCCGAACCGTTTACGGAAGTACGTACACCGCTGTAAATTAAAGCAAAATAACGGCCGAGCTGTTAACGGTGATTTGGAGCAACTCAAAATGTGCCATGGAAAGTTAATTGCGATTTGCAATTAGTAGAAATAGATAAACCTAGTAGGTTTATATATTTGAATGTTTGACGCGATGACAAGTTAACCCTCTATCGCATGCGATCTGTCATGAATTCTATAAAAATGAGGCTCGTGCGACTACCTAGAAGTTCGATCATCAATAATACCTCCATTTATGGGTACATAAGTAGCCAAGAATAATTTCTTTATGAGAGGTTAAAATCAAATTCATACGACAGAGGGTTAACATGAGCCTCGATAGTCATCTTCATCGTAACATTTATTTTAATATATATAACAATATTCGGTTTTGTAGTGTTGGCAGTAGCTGGAATTTTCTCACCGTTAATCCGTTATTCGGCTTTGGTGTACGTTTCTCGAAGCACTCGGTGACTATAAAATAATTTTTCTATGCAAGACTGTTTACAATCCTGCGTTGGCACCTCGCTGGCATGCTACGTCGACGTTCCATAGTTGTCGTCGACTGCATAGCGCCGCGGTACCACGTGTTTGCCACGCTTCGTTTCACGAGTAATTCTAACGAATTTTACGAGTATGCGTGTTCGTCCTCCCGATGAAACGACGTTTGTTAACGCGTTCCGCGAAACTTCGCTAATGAAGAGGTAAATTTCATCGACTCCTGGACGTCGTTGCTCGTTCGACTGCTTGGAATCGACGACAACCTTATTTATTCCCACGGTTATGCGATTTTCAGTCGAGTTTCGAGCACAAGTTATCCGCGACGCGCACGTTAAACTCTCTTACGCCGTTGGTTAACCTAACGCAACTTCCATCGAGTTTGAAGGAAATTTCAACGATCCCGGGGAATGCCGTTCGCTGAAATTATCGCGGTAAACTGCCGCGTGTATCCGAGGAACACGAGGTTTCGGATTTCCACGGAAACGACGTAAATCGGTATCGATCGACCGTGGTTCGGTAAAAATCTTGCAAATAACCGAGAGCGTGGCAAAGGCCCCAGTTACTTATTCGATTGAGTTCGGTTCTCGATGGATTAATCTGAGAGTAGTTACGCGATACGGGAAACTTTCTTCGTTGAAAAACGAGATGCAATTTAATTTGTTCACGCAGTATCGGCATTCTAGATCTTACAGAATTTTCACCGAATATATTTAATTTACGGCGAATGGAATTGGAGCAAAAATATATATTATTTTTTTGCACGAGAGTCGGTGTTACCTCTGCTAAAAAATAACGATAAGCTTGTTATGCTCCTAGATATAGCGATATTTGTCTTAATTTGTGTAGAAAATTGATGAGAAATAAATAATAGTTGGATTATATCTCGAGCAGGGAAGCTCGAATTTGAAAGAAATAAATGAGTACAGGGAAGATTGGAATTTTTGATAACGGAAAGTGTCCGATTACATCGAGAGGGGAATGGAATCGACGGGGAGAATTTCGTGACGGCTGGCAGAAGAGCAGCCGTCAAACGGCGAGATGATTCGTGCGTTTGAAAGGTTGATGCGCGCCATGCTGCTTTTCCCACGTGGGGAAGCCATGAGGCGTAAACAAACTCGGCCCTGGCGGAGGACGCCATCTTGGTGAAGTTCTGCCGGAAACATTTACAATTCACTCAACTTGCCCTACCGAAACTCGGCCAAGCGCCGATAAATCTCGTTGTGCGCGCGCGCGAATGCCCGCCGCGTACATAAATCCACGGCAGTCTACGGAGTTTCGGCGCCGTAAACGCCACAGTTTTTCGCCAGCTTCCGCGGTGGTAGACCCTGCCTGGAGCTGCCGAACGAGTTCGATCTCTCGCTACCTCGTTTTTACCGCGAAATTTGACGTTTCTCCATCGTTCGTCGGATTCGCATCAATCGTTTGTTTGTTTTCTTCTTCAATTGTTTCGCGAACGATCGAACGTACGAAATAAATTATCCGACACTGTTACTTCTTTACGGACACCAATAAAAGTATTGTTATATTCTCATAAATATTATTATAGGATACAGAGTTTATACGACGCTCGTCAGAGCATAACGTTTCACGGTCTACTTGATTATTAGTTTGTACTGACAGATTAATAGCTGAAAAGGAACACGATATTAAAAATTATAGCGGCTCGAAAGTGGTGTGCCACAAAAATATTCTAAATTTGTTTGTATTATTTAAATACTTCAATCATTAGATGCAATTTCTCATGGAACACTTGCCTGGCGTTCAGAGCGAGACATACGTATGTAGTTTGGATAACGCTGATGTGTATGCATTTATAGTCTGGACACTTCGATACAGAAATTAATTTGATTTGCAGTGAAGGAGAGCGTTATAGTTAATTGGAATTGTACAGGATTTGAGTTAATTATAATGTACGTCAATTAGATTAATACCGTACAGCTTGACTTACTTCGATAGTTACCATAAGCACTATTCTTTGATGTTCGTAGGAAGCGACTTGAATAATAATTCGGTGATTCCAAGATATCACTCCAAATGTAATCGTAAAAGCGATGGAAGTTTAAAAAGAAGTGGCGGAGGCTTCAGTCCAGTTCGTAAATTAAACATTTCAGCAATTTCTTCAACTTCTGCGCGCAAATTGGAGGATTTGTCACATTTTTCAAAATATTCATAGGCTTCACCCGAGTAACGTGGAATTTTTATTATAATCCTTTCGTGTTTTATATTATACTCTGAGAATTAACACCTTTAGTTGAGGACAGAAGAGCAGCTGCAGATCGAGTATAACATATATTTTATATGCTCCTGGCAAATTATGTGCCCAACTTTGCCTCTACAAAAATTGCTTACGCTTCTTGGAAAATTATTGCATCGGAGATAAGCCAAATTTTACTACGATAATAAATATATTCGTTCGACGTGAAATATAATTTTATTTTCTGATTTGAATTCCGATTTCTATTTAATAAACGATACAGAAAAATTTGCGCATCTTCGATTCGTTAATCGATATTATCAATAGGATAAGAAATTTGCCCATCTTCGCAGGAAGTTCGTATCTGCGATGCAAAACAGGAGGATTCTTGTAACTTGTAATAACAGTAACATTGTTCTGTTAAGACGTTTATCTTGGTTGTAAATGAAATAAATATATAAAAGATATACGCGATGATGCCGTCAGCGAAAGTAGACGCGAATAGGTCGAGGACCCAACAACGTAGGCTTAGCGAATCGAGCAGTGCAGCCTGGGCTAATTTCTCCGTTTAATTTATGATGGCTCGGTGAAAGGATCCGAGAAACACGTCGATTCGCACGAATCGATCTATCGTCTATCGAGGATACGATCGTGCTTGTGATTGCTACCTCGAGGAAGCTAATTAGCAATATATTACTGGGAAAAGATTGCTGTTAGAGGCTGGTCTGGTCCTGCTAAAAAAAATCTACATAAACATAACTCTCGATATGCGTAACAGAGCAAAAAGGAATTTTCTTGTCACTTTTCAGAAGCTCGTGATTGACTTCTTCCCGAGCTCGTCAATGCTTTTTCGAAGGCTCCGTTGTTACGACCTGTCTACGTATGAATGTTTCTTTTGCGTTTATACAAAGCCGCGTAACATGATATCTCGCGTATCAAAGGAGAAGATACTCTTATGGCCAAACAGTGATATATTTTCCTCGTTACTTATGCATACACATGAGAATATAAATACATTTTTTTGTTCATTTTTTGTGCTCCTAGACAGGATATTTATACCTAACCGTGACCACATTTTTAAGGAGTTTATATACTTGAAATTTTTGAAATAATATTGTCTTTATCCAGCTAATATATTAATGATATTAATTAAGGAATTTAGAGTTCGATATTTATATTCCCAAATGCAGAAGTAAGTTCCGTTGGCTTATTCTTCGAGAGATATTTTCTAGAGGTACTCATTTTAGAAATTTTCGAGACAAAACTGTTTCTACCTCGTTAACGATTCAATTCGGACCGATCACGAATTGAATTTACCTCGAAGCAGTGAAGGATTAGTTTTCGTCTTCTTGGGCCCGAATAATCGACGCAACGACGAACAATACGACGAAAGAATCGATTTTCGGTAGGTGGAATTATTTATCGTCGGTCCTATCGACTCGAGGGACGACGGGCGATTCGAGATCGCGTTAGTCTAACGCGTTGACTATTTATCAGGAAAATTCGTAGCTGGCGCAACAGGTGCAGTTTGGAGGTATCTTCTCGCCTCGATATCCGAAAAATCAAACTCGTCCGTAACTCGATCCACTCGTATCTCTCGATCGGACGCCGGAGTCGGCCTGTCGCGTTCCTGCATATGTTCTCCCAAACGATCAAGAGAAAGCTGTTGACGCGATTAACTTTTTCGCAGCAGAATTCGCGCAGTTTTTAGACATCCCGTGCGCAGGGCGGGCAAACAAATAACGAAACCGGCGAAACAACTTTTGTTTAATGTGACATCAATTCGCAGTCTTTATTGCAAGCTTTACGCTGCGGCGTTGCAACCCTTAGGGCATGGCACGTTCAAATTATGTAACAGCGGTATAATTGTTTCTCTGGTAATTATTTTATTGAATTTTGACTAGTATATCGCGAAGAAAAAAGATATTATTCTGTTGCAATGTAACCGAGAAATACTCGCTGTTTCAAGATATGAAATTGTATACTTGAGAGTACAATTTGTACATGCAATATGGGCTGTCAACAATACAAAGGCATAGAATTAATTTCTACACTAATACATATAGAAGTCGTTATATCAGACTTCATAATTTTCTAATTAACGCATCCATACACGCATTCGCATATACAGCCTTTTTCTTTTAATTTAATGGAATCAATGCTTCATACATGAATGCCACTGCAATAA